GTTGAGGCGTTGGTTTATGCGAACCATCTCGTGAATAGGTCATCATGCAGTGCGATACAGGGAAAGACTCCGTTGGAGCGATGATCTGGTTCGATAGCTAGTGACTATGAGTCGCTTTAGATATTTAGGTTTCCTGCTTATTACCATGTCAGTCATGGTAAATTGAATCCGAAAGCGAGGAAAGCAATCTTTGTTGGATTTAGAGAAGGTGTTAAAGGCTTCAAATTATGGGATCCACAAGACAAGAAGATAGTTATTAGCAGAAATATCACATTTGATGAGGCGTACATGATGAGGCCTCAAGTCCCTCAGTAGGTGGAGGGAGACCAGACAGTTGTGATATCACAGCAGGTGGAGGATGATGTGACTCCATTCACTCCAGATAGTATTGTATCCATTGAGGCTCCTATAGAGGTGACACTGGTAGGAGATGGGATGACAGCCGGGCATTTAGAGGATACAGTGGATGTTGGGACTCAGAAACAGGGTCATGGTCAGGAGTCCATTGCAGCTAATAGACTAAGAAGAAACATTCGTCGGCCAGCTAGATATGACGATGTCATGGTTTCATATGCTTTATCAGCAGAAGTCGTTGATGATTTGGTTCCTTCTACATTCAAGGAAGTAGAGTCAAACTCTGATTCGATTAAGTGGAGGGAAGCCATGGAGGAGGAGATGCAGTCTCTTCATATGAATGATACTTGGATACTTGCAAAGCTATCGAATGGTAAGAAGGCTATTGGATGCAAGTGGGTGTATGCAAAAAAAGTGGGATCTTCTATTAGGGATATTTGGTACAAAGCCAGATTGGTTGCCAAGGATTATGCATAGCTTGAGGGCGTTAATTACAACGAGATATTCTCACTTGTTGTAAAGCATTCGTCGATTAGGATTCTATTGGCATTGGTGGCACAGCTGGATTTGGATTTGGTTCAGATGGATATGAAAACAGCCTTTCTACATGGAGATTTAGAAGAGAAGATCTACATGACATAACCTATGGGGTTTAAAGCTGCAGGAAAGGAGGAATTAGTGTGCAAGCTGAAAAAGTCTCTTTACGGATTGAAGCAAATACTGTGACAATGGTACAAGAGATTCGACGGCTTTATGATTGGCTGAGGGTACACGAGGAGCCCATATGACCCATGTGTTTACATGCACAAGCTACAAAATGATGAGTATATTTATTTGCTGTTATATGTTAACGATATGCTCATAGCTTCCAGGAATACTTCAGCTATTATAAAGTTAAAAAAGGAGTTGTCATCCGAATTAGAGATGAAGGACCTTGGAGAAGCAAAGAAGATATTGGGTATGGAGATTGAAAGAGATAGGGTGAAGGGGAGATTAAAGTTGACACAGAGGAGTTACTTGCAGAAGATGCTGAAGAAATTCAGTTATGATGATAATGCCAAGGCGGTGAGTACTCCATTAGCTCCTCACTTTAAGCTATCAGCTAAGATGTCACATGTTTCAGTTGAGGACCGTGAATACATGTCCAAAGTTTCATATGCCAATGCTGTGCGTAGCTTAATGTATGTGATGGTTTGTACAAGGCCAGATTTATCACAGGCCGTGAGCATGATATCCAGGTACATGCACGACCCCAGGAAGGGTCATTGGGAGGCCGTGAAGTGGATTCTACGGTATATCAAAGGTACTGTAGATATTGGTTTGGTATTTCAGAAGAATGAGAAGACAGGGCATGATTGTATTGGTTACGTGGATTCTGATTATGCGAGGAATTTGGATAAGCGCTGGTCTACTAGCGGATATGTGTTTACACTAGCAGAAGCACCGGTATGTTAGAGATGCACACTTCAGTCTACAATGGCTCTCTCTACTATGGAGGCAGAGTATATGGCGTTGACTGAAGCTGTGAAGGAGGCTTTGTGGTTGCAGGGATTATTAGAGAACTTGGGGATTGCACAGGAGACCCTTCGGGTATATTATGATAGCATGTCAGCTATCTATTTGGCGAAGAACCAGGTTTATCATGCGCGCACGAAGCACATCGATGTCAGATTCCACTTTGTTCGTGATGTTTTGGATGATGGAGACGTCAGGTTAGAGAAGATTCACATGAAGGACAACCCTGTGGATATGTTGACCAAAGTTGTTTCAGGTGTCAAGTTTGGTCATTGTTTGGAGCTTTTGAACATTCTTCAGTGTTGAGGCCTTTGGAGGCCATTTGGGTGAACTACGCGAGGATTGATTCCTTAGGCAAGAGGATACATAGGTAGTCTTTATGATGCAGCTGGTCTGGATTAGTTGATTTTGATGGGGGTAAGATTGTTTGGACTCTCGTTCAGGTTCCCGACTTGTTGTCGAATGAGTGGGACATTTGGTTGCTTTGGTGTCGGCTCAGTTTTGGAAGAAACTTCATCGAGGTGGAGAATTGTGAACGCGTACGTTTTCACGCATTTTGTGGAGACCACGAGCAAAATATCTCGTGAAGAGATTTGGCCCACGAAGGCCCACTCGAGGAAAGGCACTCGTGCTTATAAATGCACACTGAAAATTTCCTAGGGTTTTAGCGCAAGGAGGTTTTTGATTTTTTTTATTAAATTGCGGCTGCCGGAAGCAAGTAGCAGAGGATCAGTGTGAAGGAGGCTGATTTTTTGCACAAGAAAAAGGCTGCAGCAAATAGCAAAGTGCAAGGTGTTTTGGAGGCTATTCACAGAGAAAAAGTAAAGTTTTTTTGCAGCTGTTCTTTGATTTGTGCATCCCTTTGAGAGAGTATTTGTGTGAGAGATATGAGAGTCTGTGTGAGGGTTTAAATTGTGTGATTGTAAACCCTAGTTGTATTCTCTCCCTCTAATTGTAGATCCCCCCCTCCTTGCCCCATGGACGTAGGCTATTTGTCGAATAACGTAAAATTATTTGTCTTGCCATGATTTGTATAGCTTGTAGGTTCCCTCGACAAGTCAGTCCTAGAACTGATGAGAGAAAGAGCTGATATCTCACTTTGTTGAGTTATTTTGCTTTTGGTTCTTGTTTTCTTTATAAAACAGGAATTCCGTTATGATCTAATCTCTTGTTGTGCACCTTGCGCACCAGAGGTGCTGCCAAAATTTCCGCTACGCACAACAAGCGTGGCAGTTAGAGAGACCGACATCACCTCGGCAGAGGAAGAGGCCGTAGACGGTGTTGGGGGTAGAACCAGTTATGTTGGTGGTGAAGGAGGAGTTGGTGGAGGTGAGGATGTGGAAGAGTTGATTGAGGTTTGATTTGTAGTTGCTATTGGAAGTTTAGTTACTGCGGCCACAGGTATGGTAGAGAGGGCCACCCGAGCTGAAGCCGGAGTGGAGGAGGAGGAGGAGGAAAAGATGCAAGAGATTGGTCATGTTTTTGTTTAGTGTTGTTTTGCTTGAGTGAATAGTCGAGTCCAAAACTTCCTAGCATATAGTAGGGGTTTCTGTTATATATACTCGTAACTACTAACAAGTAATATTGAGCTAAATTGGTTACAACCAATTTATACTCTCACTACCATATATTTGCTCTAATACAACAGTTCTAGAGCAACACTTCTGACCGTTGCACTAGACGTCTATGAGGACGGTTTTGCAACGTTTATTACCGTGACCAAAGGTTGTAAGACAACGATTTACAAAAAACGCTTCCCTAGCCCAATAATTTTGATTTGGGCCGATTTTATAGGCGGGTTTGGGCTTATCACTGAATATCACACCGCTCTAAATATCGTTGTTTCTCTCACTCAAATCATCATCGTTCTAAATCTCCCTTTCTAAAATCTCTCCCTCTTCGTTCTGAGAGATCGCCATGGCCGACTCTAGTCGTCGATCTCATCGTTGAACTCATCGCCAATCTCTTCGCCGTCTGATTTCGTCGTTGAGTTCGTAGCTAATCTCGTCATCGAGCTGCTGGTCTCGTCTCCGATCGCAACTCTGATTTCATCATTGAGTTCATAGCACATCTCATCGTCGAGCTGCTGGTCTCATCTCCAATCTCAACTCCGATTTGTCGTCGAGCTCATAGCAAATCTCGTCGTTGAGCTGCTGGTTTCGTCTCCGATCTTAACTCCGATTTCGTCGTCTAGCTCGAAGCTAATCCGTCTCCAATCTTGTTTGTGTGTTCTTCCTCATCGGTCTCATCGCTATCACTCTCCTTTGGACTCTTAGGTACCTTAGTTCCTTACATTTGTGATTTTTACAGTTTCTTCCCATTTCTATCCTTAGAAATCTTTTCTACATTTCTAATTTAAATAAGATCTGGATGCATGTATTTATCTAAGATTGATTTGTTCGTACTTTGGTTTTTTAAATTCTCAATTAAAATATCTCAGGGGAATGACACAATTTCTAGGGAAAGTTTCATGTAATAATTTTAGCTTGTTCTCATCTTATATTTCTCACAGTAAGTTAAAATTGTGAGTAAGCTTTTCGATTTAGACATTGTGTAATATTATCCCCTCAATCCCTTGTGCTTCACTGTTTTTCCTTTTGAACTTCAATTTGTATTTTTACATCTATTAACAACTTCTTATTCACTTATTACATTTTCTTGCTTCTTACTTTTAATTAGTGCACCTACATGATATTCTTACCTTCACTGAGCACATAAGGAACTAATATGACAATTGAGGTGATGATCAGTTCCCAGTTTTAGGTTAATTTTTGTACATTGTTTCCTGTTGCATTAATATCAGGTGACATGCATACATGTTTTCTGATAGAATTGTTGTTTCATGTTCTGCGCTAATTGTTGTAGCAATGCCTATAAAGTTTGTTCCATCATCAGTAATAATACAACTTAGTGGTGTACATAATAATGATTCTTCTAATGGACTCTTTGCTATCCATGTTGGTTTATCTTAAGTTATAGAGGGAATGTGTAGAGTTTATAGTGTTCAGATTGTTGTTTATATTGCTATTAATAGTAACAAGAGGACTGATTTTCTATTTTATAAATCACAATATTTATATGAAGTTATTAATAGTGTTAATCGATTTTTTCTTTCCCAGAACATATAATAAATGGCGGAAAATAGAGATTGGATGTATAATGCTCCTAGAGTGAGTGTGGAGTTCATTAATAATGTCAATGAATTTCTTGAGAGAGCATTTGCTAATGGAGCAGTAGGGGATGAAATATGTTTCCCTTGTCACATTTGCTGTAATCGTTTTTGGTATAGTCGTGATGTTGTTTATGAACACCTTATTGTCAAAGGATTTGTAGAGAATTATTATGATTGGTTCTTTCACGGAGAGGGTGTGTCATCAAGGATGGATGTTGATGACAATAATGAAGAAGTTGATGATGTTGCTGATGATGCTCAAGACAACCTGGATGGGTTATTGCATGATGTATTTAGAGATGTAGCAGAAGAGTCTCCTGTGAACCAAGAAGATGACCTAAGTGACCATGAAGAAAGGTTAACTAAGGAGGCAAAGAAATTTTATAAGTTAGTTGATGAAGGTAAGCAACAGTTGTTTCCGGGGTGTAAAACTTTTTCCAAACTCTCTTTTATCACCTGGTTGTATCTTCACAAGTGCATCCATGGCCTAAGCAACGAGGCATTTGATGATTATCTAGCCATATGGAGAGAGGCAATTCCTAAAATAGATCTACCAAAGTCTTATTATGAGGCCAAAAGAATTGTGAAGGATTTGGGCCTTGATTACAAGCAGATACATGCTTGCCCTAATGATTGCATGCTTTACCATAGAGAAGATGGAGAAAAAGTTGCTTGCAGTAAATGTGGTGAAAGTAGATGGATGGCAAATAAGCAGGGTGTTCCAGCCAAGGTTTTAAGGTATTTTTCCTTAAAACCTAGAGTTCAAAGACTATTCATGTGTTCTCAGACAGCTGAATCCATGAGCTGGCATGCAAAAGAGCGCCTCCAGGATGGGAAACTAAGGCACCCAGCAGATTATAAAGCATGGAAGGATTTTGATTCCAATCATGTTGATTTTGCACTAGACCCTCGTAATGTGAGGCTGGGCTTGGCTAGTGACGGGTTTAATCCATTTTGGACTATGAGCATTTCGCATAGCACATGGCCGGTGATCTTGATAAATTATAATTTACCACCCTGGATGTCTCTAAAGCCAGAATATTTCATGTTGTCTTTGCTTATTCCAGGGCCTCAGTCCCCTGGGAATAATATTGATGTTTACTTGCAACCGTTGATTGATGACTTGAAAGAGTTATGGGAAGTCGGGTTGCTTACTTATGATGCTTCAAGAAAACAACCATTTTATGTTCGTACAGCTTTACCTTGAAAGAGATATGGTAATTTTGATGTTTTCTATGATTTATAGTGTAATTATGTATTACTAATAGCTAAATGGTTTACACATGCTATGAATGACTAAATGATTGATATGTTGTTTCGTTGTAGGAAAAGGAATTGAACCGGCCTCCAACAGATGCAGAAGTATTTCTAGAGACTAGTAAAAAGAAGAAAAAAGCACAACCAGAAAAAACACTAGAAATAATTGATACATTGGAACAACTAACTCAGAAGCTAACTCAGGAACAAACTGAAGGAGAAAATGTAGATGCATGACATCTTGTCAATAAAAAAGAACATCCTGGACGTGTGCGTCTCCCGGGACGAGCGATCACTCAAAGCATGCTACAAAGCAATAAGGAGAAAACCATTGATCCATGTGATCAAGTCCCTGAGTCAATTGTTCAAGCAATAACAAAGAAGGTGGTGGCCACTCAACAAGAGGAGATGAAGAAACAACAAGAAGCTCAAGCTACAAGTATGATTCAAATATTTGCAGATATGTTGAGTGAAGTAACTGGACGTCCGGCTAGTCCAAGCTTTGTTGTTAGGTTTAAAGCGCGTACTAAACTTCTTGAAGAGGCTGCTAGTGTTTTAGATCATGAAGAGGCAAGTACCTTTTACACTTCGACATTTCTTAGCCTTCTTAGCTCTTGAACTGATTTCTATTGTGTTTTCTTGACTCGTTTCAGTTACTTCTTCTTTTTCCTCGTTGCTTTCTTCTCGCTCTCCTTTGTGTTCTTCTGTCTCTGTTGTGGTTTCATTCTCATTTTGCTACAGTAATAATATATCAACAAAATGCTGTTATTCTACTGAATGTTTGAATTTCTACGTACAGAATTAAACAATAATTTAGCATTTTTTAATTAGAATTAAGCTTAAATAAGTGCTCTTTAGATGGAAATGAAAATAACATTTATTCAGCTTGTATCCAATCTAATTAATTAGTGTTGGGGATTCGAAACAATTAATCGAACCAATGCCCTTCCGGACCTTGTGTTGAAAGTAGGAAAGTAGCAATAATACCACAAATAAAGATCTAACCTTGCAGAAAATAGTAAAGGAGACGAACACACAGATTTAACGAGGTTCGGCAATGTGCCTACGTCCTCAGGAGCCACACCACACAATCTCTTTATTAATTGAAGAAGAATTACAAGCTCTCAAACTAGGGTTTAATCTCTCTGAGATTCTCTCTCTTTCTGCAGTCAAAAAACTCTTTTTTACTTGTTCTCTAAACCCTAGAATCGGGTTACATTATAAGAATCCCAGATCAAATCAGATCCTGAAACCGTAAGGAAACTGCTAAATTTACTCGCGATCGACCGCCACGGTCGACCGTTGCGGTCGATCGTCGCGTCTCGCGCGCGAGCCGCCCACAGTCGACCGTCTGCAAAACCTAGACCAATTTGACTACAGGGTTTTGGCGGTCCCCCGCCACGGTCGACCGCGATCTGATCCAGGCTCTCCCAGCTTGCGTGCACGTTCGCGGTCGATCGCCGCGGTCGACCGTCGCGGTCGACCGTGGATCTATCTGCTTGTTTTCTCATCGTTTTGATTCCAGCTCTTGTCTCGACTTTGGGTCTACACCTTAGACTAACAATCATCCACTTGGAGACCAAAGTGCTTGCAGTGAGTTCACCCGAACTCTCCCCTTCTTCGCATATATCTTCTCCCCCCGGAAAGATTCTTTCTTCAATATCCCGATGATCTCGCTGATCCTCGTAGTGTGGCTCCGCCTTCGTCTTCTACTCGTGAAGGCCAACTGAAGTTGCACACAACTCTAGTTTCTCAATGGTGACTGCCTTCGTCAACATGTCCGTCGGATTTTGACTCCCCAAAATCTTTATTAAATGCAACTTTTCGTCTTCAACTAGAGAGCGTATAAAATAGTATTTGATGTCGATGTGCTTCGTTCTGGCATGATATACTGGATTCTTGGCAAGATGTAGAGCGCTCTGGCTATCACAATAAAGGACTCATCTCCCTTGCTTCAGATCCAACTCTTCCAAGCAACCGTTCAACCAGATCATCTCCTTGCTTTCTTCAGTCACCGCGACATACTCAGCCTCGGTTGTAGACAAAGTCACAATCTTCTGTAGACGTGAGACCCAGTTCACTGCTATCAACACTAAGGTATAAACATACCCCGTGGTGCTTCGCCTCGTATCATGATCACCGATGAAGTCCACATCCACGTATCCCTGCAGTACCAACTCCTTCCTCCTGAAACATAATGCCTTGTTCATTGTCCCTCTCAAGTACCGCATTATCCACTTCACTGCCTCCCAATGCTGCTTCCCTGGATTGCTTGCAAATCTACTCACAACTCCCACTGCATGGGTGATGTATGGCCTCGTGCAAACCATCGCGTACATGAGACTCCCAATGGCCGAAGAATTGGCACCCTGCTCATATGCTCTCTATCTGCATCTGTCTTAGGCGATTGCTCCTCAGATAGCTTGAACTGACCTCCAAGGGGTGTGCTAACAACTTTAGCATTCTGCATGTTGAACCTCTGAAGTACCTTCTCAATGTATTCAGCTTGGCTCAATCTCAATGTCCCTTCAGCTTCATCCCTACTGATTCGCATCCCTAGAATCTACTTCGCTGCGCCCAGATCCTTCATTGCAAATTCCTTTGCTAGCTGCTTCTTCAAACTGTTTATCTCCTCCAAACACGGTCCTACTACCAACATGTCAGCAACATACAATAACAAAATAATGAAGCTGGACTCGAACCTTTTGAAATAACAGCAATGATCCGAATTGCATATTCTGTAGCCATTGTTCTGCATGAAGTTATCAAACTTCTTATACCACTGTCTCAGAGCCTGTTTCAAACCATATAAGCTCTTCTTGAGCTTGCACACAATCTCTTCCTTTCCTTCTTCAATGAAGTCAACAGGCTGCTTCATGTAGATTTTTTCATCCAAGTCACCATGAAGAAAGGCAGTCTTCACATCTAACTGCTCAAGAAAGAGATCTTCTGCAGCCACCAAACTCAACACCACTCTGATGGTTGTGAGTTTCATAACAGGGGAAAATATCTCCGTGTAGTCCACTCCTTCCCGCTATTGAAACATCTTTACTACTAATCTGGCCTTGAATCTCTTGCTTCCTTCACTCTCTTGCTTGACCCAGTAGACCCATTTGTTATGTAAGGCCTTCTTCTGTGCAGGTAGCTGGGCTAACTCCCAGGTCTCATTAGTGAGTAGACCCACTGCTGAGATTCACTCACTTGCATTGCCTCTTCATAGCTTTCCGGCTCACCGCTATCTGTTAATAATAAGTAGTCAAGAGATGAAAGATATTTGGGATTTGGTTTGGGTACCCTGGATGACCTCCTAAGCTCCACGCCCTGGGTAGTTTCTTCTGCACCTGGAGTCTCCTCTGTTCTGTGGTCAGAACAAACATCATCTCCCCTGTCTGGAAGTTCTTCTATATCCATGTACTCAGATCCATCTGTATCTTAAATGCTGCTCCCACTGCTTTGGCTATCCTTGGCATCTTTCTTGTTATTGTGCATCACATCCTCATTGAATATCACGTCCCTACTTCTGATGATCTTCCTGTTCTTCTCATCCCAAAGGTGATACCCGAACTCATCAATGCCGTATCCAATGAATGTGCACTGCTGTGACTTAGCTTCTAGCTTGTCCCTAACATGGTCACTGATATGAACATAAGCCACGCAACTAAACACCCGCAAGTGTGAGAGATTTATCTTCTTGCCACTTCAAACCTCCTCTGGAATCCAAAAATCTAATAAAACTGATGGCCCATGATTAATAAGGTAGGCTGCTGTATGCACTGCATCTGCCCAAAATGTCTTAGGTAGACCTGCATGTAAACGCATGCTCCTGGCACGCTCTGTCAAGGTCCTGTTCATCCTCTCTGCAATGTCGTTCTGTTGCGGCGTCCCTGGAGTAGTCCTCTCTAACCGAATGCCATTCGTAGCACAGAACCTCTTGAACTCCTCCAGCTCGTATTCCCCACCATCGTCTGATCTCAGACACTTCACCTTCAGATCTGTCTCATTCTACACCATGGCCTTCCACTTCTTGAAGATTCCAAACACCTTTGACTTGTGCTTCATGAAGTAGATCCACACCTTCCTCAAGTGATCGTCGATGAATGTGACATAATATCTCGAACCGCCAAAAGAAGACATACTGGCTAGACCCCATACATCTGTATGAATCAACTCTAGCTTCAGAGCCTTAGGTGGCCTTCCACCCTTCTGAAAACTAACCCTCTTCTGCCTCCCAAAGATGCAGTCTTCACAAACCCCAACTTCCACGACGTATCCTCTCTGCAATGTCGTTCTGCTGCGGCGTCCCTGGAGTAGTCCTTCTGAAAACTAACCCTCTTCTGCCTCCCAAAGATGCAGTCTTCACAAACCCCAACTTCCACGACGTCGATCCCGGTTAGCTTTCCTTGTGAATGCAAAATCTTCACCCCCTTTTCGCTCATGTGCCCTAGCCTGTTATGCCACAGATCTGTACTCTCTTTGCCAACTGTAATTGTGAGGGTGTCACTCGCATGTAAGGTGAGGTAGAGAGCTCCTAGTTTGTTGCCTCGAGCAACTATCATCGTACCGTTAGAGATTCTCCACAAGTCCCCTGTGAATGTCGAAACATAGCCTTATGCTCCAAGCTGTCCCACCGAAATAAGATTCCTCTTCAGCTTCGGTACGTGTCTTACGTTCTTCAAGGTCCACTTAGAGTCCTTCATCTGAATCTGCACTTCACCCTTTCTAACTATATTATAGGGCTCGTTGTTCCCCAAATACACTTTTCCAAAGTCCCTTGCTACATAATTCTGAAATAGCTTCCTGTTAGCAGTGGCGTGGAAAGAGGCTCCTGAATCGATGACCCAAGAATCTGAATCGTTGTCCATTGCAAGAATCAAGGCATCCTACACGATATGAGCCTCCTGCTCACCCGCATTCTTCTTTGGACTTTTGCAGACTGAAGACATATGGCCCCCCTGGCCGCAGTTCCAACACTTTCATTTGATAGGCCTAACCTTCGAGTTCGACCTCTTCTTTACTGATTTTGACCTATTCTTGTTCTGGTTTCCTTTCTTCTGGCTTCTGCCTCTCTGCTTGAAAGTTAGAGCTGAACCTGAACCTTCTGATTCGGACGATTTCCTTCTAACCTCCTCGTATAGAATCATGCTAACAACCTCACTCAGCTTCAACTTCCTAGATGCACCTTGTTTGCTGCCGACGGTTGCTCGTACATCTTCGCGAGCGCTTCCATAAGCCCCACC